AAGCAGAATTGTCCACATGGAAAAAGAAGTCCAAAAGCTTACTGAAGAAAATACTTCCTGAAAAATTAGAATGGAGCAAATGGAAGCTAGTGACTTTATGAGAAATCAGGACACTGTAAAGAAATCCAAAAGAATGGAAAACAAAGAAGACAATGTAAAATATCTCACTGGAAAAACAACTGACCTGGAAAACATATCCAGGAGAGATAATTTAAAAATTATTGGACTATCCGAAAGCCATGACCAAAAAAAGAACCTACACATCATCTTTCAAGAAATTATCAAGGGTAACTGCCCTGATATTCTAGAACCAGAGGGTAAACTACAAATGGAAAGAATCCACTGATCACATTCTGAAAGAGATCCCCAAAGGAAAACTCTTAGGAATAATATAACCAAATTCCAGAATTCCCAGGTCAAGGAGAAAATATTGCAAGCAACCAGAAAGAAACAATTCAAGTATAACAAGGATAACATAAAATTTAGCAGCTTCTGCATTAAGGGACCAGAGGACTTGGAATATGATATTCCAGAGGGCAAAAGTGATAGGATTACAACCAAGAATCACCTAAGCAGCGAAACTGAGTATAATTCTTAAGGGGAAAAAAATGGACATTCAGTGAAATAGAGTACTTTGAAACATTCCTGATGGAAAGACCAGAGCTGAATAGAAAATTTGAGTTTCAAATACAAGACCCAAGAGAAGCATGAAAAGGTAAACAGAAAAGAGAAATCATAAGGGGACTTATTAAAGTTGAACTGTTTACATTCCTACCTGGAAAAATGATATTTGTAGCTCATGAGACCTTTGTCAGTATTAAAGTAGTTGGAGGGGAAAAAATTATATGTATATATTTATAGATACATAGAGGGCACAGGGTGAGTTGAAGATGAAAGGGTGACATCTGGAGAAAAAACTAAGGGGTGAGAGAGGATTATACTGGGAGAAGGAGAAAGGGAGAGGTAGAATGAGGTAAATTATCTCACACAAAACAGACAAGAAAAGGCTTTTACAGTGGAGGGGAAGTGGGGGAAGGTGATAGGGAATGAGTAAATCTTATTTTCATTAAATTTGGCTTAAGAAGGGAATCACATACACACTCAATTGGGTATGGAAATCTATCTTACCCTACAGGAAAATAGAGAGGAAGTGGATAAGAGAGAGGGGTGGACAGATTGGGGGATGGGGTAATCAAAAGCAAATACTCCTGAGGAGGGACAGGGTCAAAAGAGAGAATAAATGAGGTGTGGGATAGGATAAAAGGAATGTAGCTAGTTTTTTCACAACATGACTACTATGGAAGTGTTTTGCATAACTGCACATGTATAACCTGTATCAAGTTGTTTGCCTTCTCAATGAGGGTGGGTGGGGAGGGAGGAAGGGAGAAAATTTGAAACCCAAAGTTTTAAAAACAAATATTAAAATTTGTTTTCACATGCAACTGTGAAATAAGATATACAGGCAATGGGGTATAGAAATCTATCCTGCCCTACAGGAAAATAGAAGAGGCAAGGGATAAGAGAAAGGGGGGGGTGATAGAAGGGAGGGCAGATTAGAGTAAGGGGTATTCAGAATGCATGCCGTCTTGGGGTGGGGGTAGGGGCGAGATGGGGAGAAAATTTGGAACTCAAAATCTTGTGGAAGTGAATGTTGAAAACTAAAAATAAATAAATAAATAAATTTATAATTTGTGTATAATATATAATTATATGCAGTATAATTTATAATAAAATATATTATAGAATTATGTAATATTATATAATAAAATATAATAAAAATTAATTAATAAATGAGACAAATCTGTACTTCCCATTCTTGGAAAGCATTATTTTTTTTTCCTAGGGTGAGGCAATTGGGGTTAAGTGAGTTGCCCACAGTCACATGACTAGCGAGTGTTATATGTCTGAGGTCAGATCTGAACTCGGGTCCTCCTGACTTCAGGGACGGTGCTCTATCCACTGTGCTACGTAGCACCCTTTGGAAAGTATTCTAATAAAACCTTATAAAATCTTGTGGTGGATTTATGCATACAGTGACAAAATTAACATGGCCATTTTACAGTTCCATACTAGTTAACAGTTTCATAAGTAATAGGGAATCTAGAGGAGCAATGATGGCAGAGCAGATGAAGAAATAGTTTCATATCCACTCTTGTTGTCCCCCAAACTCTATGAAAAACAAAATGATAGAGATCCACACTGAGGTTTCCAGCAGCTAAAATCATTTTGAAGCAACTTTCCACTCTTGGGGAATGAAATTCCTGGAAACCTCAAATAACTCAAGCTGAAATTAATGGGAATTTCATTAACACTTTCATGCAACAAAGACATTATTCAGAACATAAGGTGTACTTCTAACTTTTAATCTGGCTTTCATCCAACAGATATGGAAATTTTAGTTGCTAAAATCCTGAGTTAATGTCATGATTACAAACATTGTCCTCACTTGCCTTTAGGTACTAATCAAGTTTTCTTTGCAAATTTTATTTTACCCTCTGTACTTTTAATTCCTTCCTCTCTGCCCTCTAAAAATTTTTCTTCAATTCTTAATCTATGTTTATTGTCTTCCCTTCCTTGCCCACCTCCCAAATGTTGTGAAAGAAAAAAAGTTAATTGTATTGTAATTTTTTTTTTGCTGATAGAGAAATTTTTTGAAGAATGTTAGAAAAATGAAGCATTCTTCTTACAAATCATGCAAGTAAAATTTACTCAGGGAAGCCAGCTGTCACAAGCTACACAACTCATCTTCAGGATCTCTGTTTCTGTTTCATCATGCATACACATCAACATTTCCCCCTCTATTCAACAAGTCTTTTTTTACCTAGTTTTTCAAACATTACTTGATCAATGCATATTTATCATTAAGATGCACCCACATTTGCACAAGGACCTGTAGAATATAAGAACAGTAGAAGATACAGTCTTTGCCCTTAGTAAGCACATGATCTGACTGGTCTAGTTTCCTCTCACTCCCCCCCCCCACCACAAAAAAAAACCCTTTCTATTTCTTTTGTTTTTCCTGTCTTCTGATGTACATTCTTTTCCTATGAACAAATGGAACAGAATGTGTACCTTCTAGTCTATTAACCTGCTATTTCTTTAAAATTAATTAAAACTAAAGGAATCCCCAAAAGCCATTTCTCTGGATTCCCCAGATACATTAAAATCTTCAGTAGAGAATAAATTAAAGTAGCAATTTTTTCTGCTCCCTCACTTTTATCTCCTCTACCAAACATTTTATTAAGTGCCTTTCATATTCTAGGTGCTTAATGATTGTTTGTTGAATTAAATTTTCTTTCTTCAAGGCCATGCTCAGTTCCCACCTCCTCCATGAAGCCTTCACTAATCCCTTAGCTGAAGTTAATCTCTCCCAGATGTAGCATGTATAATGGAAAAAAAAATAGAGTTTGGAATCAGAGAACCTTTATAAAACCCCCAACAAAACCCAGAAACCTCTACTTATTGGCATGCAATAGTCATTTAACCTTTCTGTGCTTCAGTTTTCTTATCTGCAAAATGACAGTTGGCTGGCTAAGTGATCTCCAAGGTCCCACCTACATCTAAATGCTATGATTCTGTCTTGTCGTAATGGAAAGTACACTTAGAATTTGGAATCAGAGGACCTAGGTTCAAATCCCAGTTCTACTACCTTCTATTTGTGTGACCTTAGACAGATCATTTAATCTGCTGGGGTTATGACTTTATTCCTAAAGGGAGGACATTGTATTAAATAATCTCTAAGGTCCCTTCCAACTCCAAATCTATAATTCTATAATCTTGCTGTCACATACTATCTTGTATGATCATGATTTGTGTAACTATTGCACTCTTTTTATTTTGCCAGCTTAATTTCCCCCCCATATTTGCATCCTCAGAATTGTGCCTTGTGCATAATAACGATAAAAGCAATAAAAGTTTTCTGAGCTGAATAGAAATGATTGGAATCACTGTTATTTTCCTTTGGAAGAGGGAATGCTGCTGTCCAAGCCTCAGGTGCTGAATCTTAGGAAGGAGGAAGCCCAGTTGTCCTCTTTGTCTATTTCTGTAACGGAGGGGGGGTCCTTTGTTGTGGTTAAAATGTCTCCCCCAATTCCCTTTCCCAGAACAACATATGTCTTTTAATTTGGTGTATTGTGTAGGATCAGCTTTTCCAGCCTCATATTCCAGTGCTTCCACTAACAACCCTAGACTTTTCCTAGAATGGCTTATTTTGATAAATCCTTTTGCTGTTCTCTAAAACATAACATTACCCTTGAAATTTCGGTTCAAACCTCTCATTTTCCGGCCATTCCACTTTCATTTGATCCCTCTCATTTCTGAAATACTAGATAATTGAAAATTTGTCATTCACTTAGGGATTATTCAGGAATTAGTTGTGTTTTGCAGCATTTCCTTTTTATTGTCTGGAGCTCCTATTACAATAATAAATTACACTCGTATCTCTAGATCTATCACTTTGAGGTTACAAAGTAATTTAATAATAACCCTGTGAGCTAAGAAGGACCACAGATTTGGAGCTTAAAAGGACTTTAGAGGAAATCTAGTGTAACTTCTCCTTTTACAGTTGAGGACACTCAGGCCCAGGCAGGTTAAGTGACTTGCTTAAGGTCACACAGGTAGTACTGCATGTTGTAGAGTTGGGAATCTAATACAGAGCACGCCTTCACATGTAGCGTTCTTCTGCTATCCTGCCTTCACTTCACAGTTAACAAACTTATATTGTTTAACTTTTCAAACGATTATTGTGTATTTCCTTAAACCTGCGGTAAGCTCCTTCACGGTAAAAATGGTGTTTTATTAGTCTTTGCAACTTCCACAGTGACTTGAACATAGTAGGTGCTGGATAAATATTTCTGGATAGGTTGACAGTGGGAAGTAAGTTCCAATCGGGTAAGCCAAAGACAGTTTCTACTGGAAGCGGGAGCATCGGTTGTCTCTAATTAAAGGAGGGAGAAAAAGTCCATAGGTGAGGAAGACCTTAAGGGAAGGCAACAGGCGCAATGATTATGACACCCCCTCCCTCAAACCTTGGGCCAACTCTGACAGAATTCTTCTATTTTGCTGGGGACGAGGGGTGGCGGGTGTGAGGGAGACGGGGCGGGAAGGAAGGGACCGGCAACAGAGGATGCTTGGAATTTGTCCCCTTGGCAGAGTCAGGAAGCAGCTTCTTTGCTTCCTCATCTTGTTGCTGATCCTGCGGAGTGGAGAGGGGCCCCTCCCCCCTCCTCTCTTTCTCTGGCTCTTTATATTCTGCAAGGGGTTGGGGGGGGGAGGGAAGGGGTGGAATTTGCCCATCAGGCTTCCCAGAGCCGCAGACTGGGTCCTGCGCCCTTCGTCCATTTCTCTCTTGGTACCTTTTCCATTGCTTCTCGCAGGAAGATTCTCCCCTCCTCCCACCCTCAATCCCTCGTTCGCCCTCCTACCCCACTGGCGCGCGCACAACGGGACCCCGGCACGTGGGCGCGCGGGAAGAGGCGGCGGCGGCGGCCAAGGCTGCTGCTGCTACTGCTATTGCCCAAACCGGCTAGAGCCTTGGCTGCTGCTGCCCTCTCAGTCTCTAGCCGGAACCCAGCAGAGCATCAAGGGAAACAGGGATCTGGGAGAGAGCAGTACAGGAACAGAGAGGGGGAGGGGGAGAGAGAGTGAGAGAGAGAGAGAGAGAGAGAGAAAGAGAGAAAGAGAGAGAGGACATCGTGGAAAGGGGGATTGGGGGAGGCGGGTGGGTAGGGGAGGAAGAGCCCTAAAAAGCCCGAAGCCTGGGAACGAAAAGGAGAAAACCCCGCTCTCCGGCCCCCGCCCTCTTTCCCCGCCTTTCTTTCTCCCTCCCTCCCTTCTTCTCTCCCTCCCTGCTTGCCTGCCTGTCTGCCGGAAAGCACGATGCAGCGGCGCTCTGGGTAGGCGGCGGCCGGCGGGAGCGGACAGAGGTTTTCCCGCAGCTGTCAAGGCGTCCGGCTGCTCCCTCCGGCTGGGGCCTGGATTCAGGGGGCGGCCGGATCGCCAGCCCCCGGCTAGAAGCTGCAGGAGGGCTTGGGAGCCGGAGCCGCAGCCAGAGCCAGAGGAAAAGAGCGTCGGTGCATCCAGCCGGGTGCTTAAAGTCCAAGGAGAGTTGGTGCTGCTGGGGTCGGTCACCCCAACCCCCCGTCCCTCTTCCCACCCAACTTCATTCCCAGTCCCTTCCTCCTTCCTCCTCTCCCCTCCTCCTCCCCCCATGCTGTGGCTTCGCTGACTCGTCCAGTGGAGGGATGTGCTCCCGGCCGAGCTGCGCGCTCGCCGCCTCTCCCCTCATGGGATTGCCTGCACAGAGAGGCTGGAGTTGGAGCGCTTAGCTCCCGCGGAGCAGGGAGAAGAACGGAGGGGAGCAAAAATTAACATACAGACATACACAGAGAGACCCACACAATCCTTCCGCTGCACTTGCTGCTCGCCCTCCAGTCCCGCGAGGGGGCGGCTCCGGCCGGCGGCCAGACCAAGGGGTGAGTAGCTCGCCGCCGCGCCCAGTTCCCCACTTTAGCGCGGGCACGGTCTCTCTGAAGTTGTGGGTTTGCCCCTTCCCGGCGAAGAGGTCCTGAGGCTCTGCCCGGCCTCGGAGAGGGCAACCCACTCTTGGGTTCGGGTCACTGGGGAAGTTGTGGCTTTCTGTCTGTGACTGGCAGTCTCACGGAGCTCTAGCTCCACCAAAACCAGGCATCCCGCTTGGTTCCCAAGAGTTGTTCCCCCTACCCCCTCGCATCCCAATTCCGAGGCGGGTATCAGGGATAAAAGAGGAGCAAAGGGCACACAGCGCGCTGCTCACGGTCTCCTCATCACTAGATCTTGAAGCACGGGTGCCCATGGCCGGCTGTTCTTCCGTTGCAATGTATCCGCAGGTTAGCAGGTGCAGAATGTAAGCGCTTAGAGATCGGCAGGGATGGCTGCTAGGGCGCGGGAGGCCGCGTACACTTCATTAAAGGAACGTTGAGCAGCTTGAATATTAACAGCAGAGCGTGTGTGAGTGTGTATGCACTGGGGAGAGACCGGAGCGGCAGGAGGATACGCGCGAGAAATTATTCAGCTACAAGAATAGAAAACACATCCCTGAGCAGGCAACTCCAAAAAAATCCAAGACCTGGCAGGAAGAAAAGGGAAAATCAGTGACAGCTCAGGATTTGAGGATAAGAGGGTAGGATACACAGCGGCGCTGCAGCTGGACAGAGCTTGGAGAGGACTCTGGGCATCCAACAGGTGACTGCTGGACCCAGTCTCTTTGTGACCGGGCGCAGGGTAGGGAATCCTGTCTCTAACCCCCCTTCCCCGGGCTTTTTTGCTTCTACTCCAGGGTATGATATCTCTAAACGCGGGGTAAGGAAATGCACTTCCCTTCTCCCCGTGGTTTTATTAGCCCGTGCGACTCTGTATGTGTACGTGTACGTGTATGCTTATGTGTATGTGATGTTTGTGTGTTTATGTGTGTGTGAGCGCACGAGCGCCATCCAAATGCAGTTGCCTTGATGCCTCTTTGTGGAAACAAGTGAACTCTCTGTTGAGGCCCTCTTTGTGTCACTGATAGAGGATGTGACTGAACTTCAAGGCAATTGAGGCCCCATTCAGAAAGGGTGCTGCGGACTTGGCTGGTCCCTGGTTGGAGTGGGCTAGCTGCTGCCTCCCTCGGGAACGCAGGCACTAGCCCTTCCGGGTGACCCAGGCTACCAGCCTTCCAGAGCCTAAAGGCCTAATGCTACGCTAAGAGCCAAATCTTAAGGAAAGCTGAAGGGAATTCCTCGTTTCTCGTTTCTCCCTTCCTTTTTTCACCCAACAATTTTTTTTGCAGCTAGACCCTACCCGGCCCCCTCGCTTCAAAACCCAAGAAACATGCGTGTGTGTGTGTGTGTGTGTGTGTGTGTGTGTGTGTGTGTGTGTGTGAGAGAGAGAGAGAGAGAGAGAGAGAGAGAGAGAGAGAGAGAGAGAGAGAGAGAGAGAGAGAGAGAGATTTGTGCTTGGTTGCCTGAACAGATGGAGTTTGGTGAGAAATTAAGTTTTACTGCTCTAAGGTCGGGACGGAAAGTGAAAGCAGTTGGAAGGACAGACAGGACCCCGACTCCTTTCAGAGCTGTCTGCCTCCTCGAGTCGATAGATGAATGGGAGGGAGCTATGGATTCAAGTTATGCTCCAGCATTAAGTAGTTGGCCATGGGCACATCTCGGACTTCTCAGAGTTTCCCCTTCTGTAATTTGTGGATAGTGATTCCTATCAGGAGGAGATAATAAATTTCAGCCGTGGGGAAGTACAGGGGGTGCAGAAATGTGCCGTACTGTCACTCCTCTTCAACCCGTTTTCCCTCCTGCTGCTTTTCTTTAATTTTGTCCTTCCAAGCTCTGCTTCCCTTTCCGCCAGCCCCTCTCCATATCGGAGCTGTTCCCACTCCCACACTGGGAAAAAGGCTCCGAGCCTGCAGTTCCAGAATAATGTTCGAATGGTGTTGGCCCTTTGACTGGGAGCTAGTCCGCGGTATTATCATGGGGCTCACGCATTCATGGGAAACGTGGCCGTTGTTGGTGTCTTGTTGGCAAAAGGGGCCGGCGGGATCTGGCCACTGGTGGGAGTGGAGGAGCTGAGAGGAGGTTTGGGGGCCATGGTTTGTGTGTCAAAAGGAAAGCGAGAGACTGGGAAGGGATAGAGATCAAGACAGAGACAGAGTTTGTGTGATTTTTGATTTGTATAAACCAAGTCGAGGTTCTGAAGAAGTGGACACAGTCCCTGTTCCCTGTGACGCTAGTAGCTGCTACTGTTTTCTTCACTAGAGAGTCGTGAATTACGCTGAAATTACCCACCCTATTTAGGACTGAAATTCATTGGCTAAGCAGGAATCGAAAGTTTAGCTCTTGGTAAATTCACACAGAGACAGGAATAGTCCTTTTTTGCTAAATTTCAGGTAAATATGCATTCGGTCATTGATTCATTCATTCACCCACTCAAATATTTATTCACTCAACAAACATTTATCAAGCACCTACTGTGTCTGCACAGGGCTGTGAGCTGGGTTGCTGGCATTACAGTACGATATAGAAGAATGTACACATGATAACGTTGTAGAATTTTTTCCCTCTTCATTTGTTCTAACTTCCCCCTCCGTCTGAGGTTCCTTGATAGAGTGGAAAGAACACTAGCCTTGGAGTTGAGACCTGGGTTAAAGGGAGCTCTGGTATCTCCCATCAGCATATGTGAGTTTGGGCAAGTTACATCACTTATATGAGCCTCAGTTTCCTCATCTGTAATATCTGTATAGTTATACCTGCACATCTTCCTCACATAGCTAATTGCTAGGAAATCCTTTAAGGGCTTTGCAAATGCAAGCTATCATTATTATTAATTGTTGGTTTTTCCAAACAACTGCATTTTAAGCAGGCTTCAGAGAACCCCTCTTCTCCTTCCAAGGTGTATTATATTAAGTTTCACTTTAAAGGCAAAGGACCAGAGAAGCTGCTGAGCAGAAATCATCACTCACTCATTCCATTAGCCAGTGGGCCCTGGAGCAAGGCAGCTGCTGGTTGGGGGTGTCATGAGGCTTCCTGTACTTGAGGGCACCTTTAATTCTCTTTCTTTTCTGTCCTGGGTTCTTTTCATCATACAACTGTTGCAGTTTTGTCTTCTGATTGGATGGTTTATAATCAGGACAAGAGATAACAAGCTAGAGTGGAAAGAAGGCACCCCAGGTTTAAGTGTGCTGCCTGGATTTGAACACTATGGATTAGGAAATCTGTTGACTGTTATTTGAGAAGTGAACTGCACAGCAATCATGTAGGCCATTTGTTAAACGATTTACTTCCTGCCCTGACAGGATCAAAGCATTCAGAAAGCACAAAGTGCTTCTTAACAGCCTTGGTGTTCCTATTTGTACAAATCATTGACACAAAGTGTCACTGGGAGGCAGGTTAGAGGGCAGTTGTGTCAAAAGCTACTTCAAGCAGAGCCCTCCTAGGTTAGTGGAGTCTCAGATAAGTAGTAGCAGGTGACACTCATGGATCTGACTGCCACTTAAAAAATATGATTAAGAATTGTCCTCCTGGGTCCCCCATAATAACTGAATGACATGTTGTCCAGATAGAAAAGAAGTGACCCCTCCCCTTTCAGGATTTCACCAGTAGTCTGCTTAAATTTAATGTGCTCTGCAGAATCTCGGGTATCTTCTGATCTTTTTTATTGGAAAGTGGCTAAAGTTGTCAGACGTCTTATTTAGCCTACTGTTTTCTCATCTTTCCTTCGGAGATCCAAATTTATTTTCTGAGGCTGTGCTGCTTTTAACCTTGACCTTTTATTTGTAGATAGTAATTGAGCCCTGGGTACCTCTGACAAACTGCTGTCAGAGTTATACTATTTTTTTTTTTTGTCTTGCTATCATTTGGGAATATGGAACATAAAGGCAGGAATTACTGGCCCTCAGAATGATCTTATCTTTTACATATTGGACTTTCATTGCAGTTTCAATGGTAAAAGCCTATTTTTTTTTCATCCATGATGTAAGATTGATAGGAAGCATCATTTATTATCTTTTGGGGGGTATTTTTTGGCATATTCTGTTTTATTTCCCTTCTTTCCTTCCTTCCTTTTTTCTTTCTCTCCTCCCTCTCTTCCTTTCTCCCTTCCTTCATCCTTTTCTCACTTGCCTTATTCTTTGCTCCTTGCCTCCTTCACTCCCTACTACCTTTCCTCCTTCTTTCCCTTGCCCCTCTAATTAAATATATTAGACTGGATTGAAATGAGCGGTATATTCCTTCTTCTGGTATAGTTCTTTCCATCCTTTAAAGCTCAAATATCATCTCCATCAGGAAACCTTCCCTGTCTGACCTTTTCCAAATCAGAAGTGGTATTTTCCTCCTTGGACTTTACATAGGATTTTATTTGTATTTCTCTTATGTACTCTGATGTTCTATTTTGTCTTATAATTATTTTGTGTGTGTCAAACTCTGTGCTTCTCTATCTCCCATGGCACCCTCCCCCATTAATCATTACACAACTCAAGGCAGTGTGGTATAGTAGAAAGGGTACTAAATGAGAGTTGCAGAGATCTTAGCTCTGCAACTTGCTGCTTACATGACCTTGGGCAAGTCATTTAATCTTACAGGGTCTTAATTTTCTCATATGTAAAATGAAGCATTGGAGAGATGACTTCTACATCCCTGTCCTGTTATAAATTTATGTTTTTATGAAGACAGAATATAATGCACTGCACATAATAAGCATGTTATAATTTAAAAAAAAAAACATTAAACCAACTAAGAATTAGGGGATTTCTTGTGCAGTTTAAGTTACTATAATTCAAAATTATTTGATGTGGCCTTTCAATCTGAAGGTGGGGTTAAACTGAAATTCAAAAAGTGGGAACCTTAACTTGTAAGGTAAATGTGTACCCAAAGAGCTAGAAAATAGAGAAAGATGGTCATAGTAGTAATAGATAAATTAGGATAATAGCGTTTGAATATGCTACAGTGGGTTGTTA